CTGAAGCAGCTTTCCTTGAAGTTCTCGGCTTTGAGGAGCCGGATTTGCTGGAAATCCTCTTATTGGGAGACAAGCCCTTTATGTTCAGGATTTTTTTGGAAGCAGTATCAAAAGGGCTTGGTTACTTTGGCCTCTACGTGTCTAGGCTCCTTCTTTCTTCTTCGTTTCTTTGTTTTTGGGCTTGGGATGGGAAAGACCCAATTTTAGAGCTGTGTCTTCACCACCTGCCGCATGAGTTGTTGATGAAACGATCGAGCTCTTGAGCTTCCTAGCCAGAGTCTGCAACTTCTTCGGCCCGAGAGGGTCCTTACCTCGAGCTTTCGATTGAGCCAGAAGATCATCTTGGAGTTCATCCCCAGAAGATCATCGCCCAACTCCTGAGATCCCGATGATCCAACCATACTCTTTTGCTTCTCAGGCGGAGACTTTTTCTGAACCAGATTTGGGGAGACTTGAAGTAGTCGATTCTATCGATTCTGAAGGGAATCTTGGATTTCCTTACCCAAGAGGTCATCGTCCGTCTCAGTGGCGATAGGAGGTTCCATGGTGTGATACGCGGCTTTATCCTCCGCCATCCAATCTAGGTTGAGAGCTTCTGACCTCGAATGATGGTTCCCTTCCCACCTTCCTTCGGAATAGCCTGTGTTGGAATCAAAGAACGAGATGGAGGGGCAACAGATGGACTAGAGAAAGGTAGACGAATTCTTAGAGAGATTTAAATGAAAGGGTTTTTCCTTGACATATGCCGGGGAAGAAGTTCCTTGTTTTCCCCTCAAGGGAGCTATAAGAGTAACCGAAAGCATCCATTGCGAATCAGAGAGATGATGTAAAGGCTACTTCCCACAAAAAGAGTTACTGGGAAGGTGAGTGGGGGCAGGGTCTTTGCGGGAAGGACCCTTGCGGCCTTTGCTAGAAGGTTCATAGCTTTTCTCCTGGGAGAAAGAATCCTCATGACGTCACTTTCTTCCATAATCCGTCCCATTACCTTTTGGATCATCACGGAAGGAGGGACGCCTGAGAGAAGCTATCGCAGACGATCGGTGGTGCTTTGAAGCTCGAACAGAAGGGTACCGATTAGAGGTTAGAGGGTATTGCTGGTGGTGGATGCAATTGTTAGAGGTAAATCTGTCCTTTTTCCTTCTTGTGTCTCCAACAGGGGGGTTAAGTCTTGTAGAAAGAGGACCTACAGACAGAGGTAAGTTCTTTCTCCCATGACCATTGCAGGTTGCAAATGAAGAATCATGGGGAAGATAAAGATACTGATTACGGCCGTCACCTCTAGTGAGATACCGAGGGTTCTTCTGTTCCTCCTCAGCACCTAGTGCCGCTCTCTGATTTACATTGATTAATGGACACAAATCAAGTTCATGACAAATACGTCCAGAGTAAGAACACCATCGGAGAAGCTTTTCATAGAACAATTTCACTTTTACAACTGCTCTTGTAGGGAGTTGGGCATTCTTGTTGAATCTTAAAGGAACATCTGCCTTAACAGAGATCTCGATTCGTCCTTTGGTAGGGTCAACTCTCTGGACCACACCAAGATAACTACCTAAGTTTCTCAGAGCCTCCTCTTCCCAAAACTTTGTAGGGTTTCCTTTGCTTTTAACCCAAAAACTCATAGTATCGGGAAAAGAGGTTCCTGTGTGAGGTTCCCATCTTTCAAGAGCGAAAAACCACTTGTTAAAATGACAAGGATGCTTGCTAAGGACCTTGTGGAGATCATCTTCAGATTCAAAAAAAACTGGAACCGTGAGTCACCAAGAGAGACTCCCCAGACCCGTACTTCGACATCCCATATGTGCTCTTTAGGGAGAAAGGAGACCAAGGCTTCAATACTGCGTCCACCTTGGTGAAACATTCGCCCCACAAGGCTAAGCTGAAGACGAGCTAGGAGAGCCAAGTTGTCCAATTGTGGGAGAATAACAACATCATCTTCTTCCTCGGGTTCAAAGACAAACGGAGTTTGTGATATCATGGGATTTTCGCCCATATTTGCTATTGTTTTCTTATGTTTTAGGGAGAATTTGGAGTGATTTCAGAGCTAAGAAGGAGTTATTCAAGTATTTATGGAGCCAAGAAAGTTTTAAGAGTTTTTGAGCTTTACAGACCAAAAGGCGATCAAAACCCGTTTCAAGACAGTTTCTGTACGTCAGAAGTATGGCGTCCGTTCGAAGTCTTTCTGATTACCAAATCAAGATATCTCGGTGGCTATGGAAATCTAGAAGAGTCAAGATTCGCCTCGAAGTGGAATCAGAGCTTTTAACTGAGCCGTTCAGAAGTTAAGACCAGAAGAGTGAAGACATGTCCAGACCGGCCAGAAGCTATGCAACCGTTCCGGAGCTTCTTGGCGACACCGGTCACATGGGCCGAGCCCGGGCTGCCTCCTACTCTCCACCCCGGTCACTAAGGCCTCTACCCTGTCCAGAGATGCGAGTTTCACTTAACCTAAGCCACGGGAAAATATGCTTTTACCCCTAAACCTAATCCTTGGTTCCCGAAACCTATAAATACATGTTGGGAGTCCTAAACCTAGGAGTGCCTTCGAAGTGTCTTCTAAGAGCTGCCGTGAAGCCCTAGAGTTTGTCCCTGCCCTCGCCGTGAGCTGCAGCCTTCGTTCCTTGAAGCTTTGAAGAACCACCAAATATCTCCCTCTTTTCTCTTGTTTACTCTAAGATCTATTAAGGTGAAGTCTTACCTCTTGTAGTCTACATTAAAAGATGTAATCTCTAAACCCTATTCAGTTCTTATTCTTCTTTTTCTTATGAGTTTATCAAACCTTACTTTGATGATCTCTTTAAACATGCTAGAGTAGTTTTCTAGTTGGGTTTAAAGGGTTAATCAAAGGGGGGAATATGGCCGATCGTTTAGGTGGCAATATCTAGGGTTGTTTGATCGTTTACACTGTATTCTTTCTAAGTAAGTTGTTTCTTAATGCATGTAGTTAGATTCATGTCCTAACTCGTGATCCCAAGTGTTTAAATTGCTCACAAGGTTGTTTAATACGCTAGACCTAGCTTACGAATGTGTATCGTGTTATAACAAGAACACACCACTTAGTTATAGGGCTTTATGGACTAGAATCGAACTTGATCTTATTGCTTTGATATATGCATCGTTGTCTGCGTAGGTTGAGTAACGGAGTATAAGGATTTTAGCCGACTTATCCTATAACCTAGTATAAGCCGAATCTTAGTGTTTCGTATGTCCGAGACTTGGAAGTAAACAAACCTAATTCTAGTATTTCTTAGATAGCGATCATTGAACCCCCTGCGATACCCTTGATGCCCAACGTTTTTTTCCTATTGATTTCTTGCGTTTATTTTACTTGCTTTCTTTGCTTTCTTTCATTTACTTTTATTTGCAATCGTGTGGATTCGATACTCTAAGTACTACGATTGATTGTTGTGCACTTGCAGCTTATTAATTGTGTTATTTGGGAATTTTAAAACCCGGCACATTAAACACGTACGTTAGTTTGTTTTGGAGGAGATTCTCTGTACCAACTTGGTCTTTCTCTCTTTGACATGGTGAGAAAAGATAAGGGAATCGACAAAATAACGGGTCTTAGCTTGATGCTAGAAATAGAACTAAAAGAGTCTCTGCTTATGCAGGAAGGTCTTCTAGGGAGATAGATATAGGTCGTTCTTTACTTTCAAAAGAGAAAAGCTTGAGGAGAGAGCGAAGAGCAAAGAAGAGAGGAAGCAAAGGCTGTGAAGAGAGACAGAAAGGGACAACTAGCCGAAGAGAATGCTATCGAAGAGGCTTAGGAGAAGAGCTCTCAAAGAAAGACAGAGGAAAAGCTTCCCAAAATAGCTAAAAAAAAGTGGGTAAGATCTACTAATTTTGAAAACATTTTCTCTTTTCAGGTATCTCGAGACTCGTGTCTGAAAGAGAAAAGGAGAACTGTGTTTCAGGTAAACATCAAATTGTCTTAATTCATATTTTCAAAAAAAAAATTTAACAACTAAAATAAAACTTATTAATTTATAATTAAAATTAATAAATATTATTTTATAGATAAATTAATAAAATATTATAATCCCATCATTATTAATTTATTTACTATTTTGATATTTTAAATAATGATGGATGTTGGTTTGGTAATTTTTATGTTATTGGAATGTTATATACAAAATCTCTCAACAATCTAATAATTTTTTATAGGGGCTTTTGCAAAAATGCCCCTTTTTCAATGCCACTTTTCAAAAATGTCCTTTCTTTAAAATTTTATAAAAAATGCTCTTAAAAATATAAGATTTACCCAAATATGTATGTAACATTATTAAAACATACACAAACTACATTTCTATGTATCTAAAATCTTATAAATACTTTATAAATATCTTATAAATGTATTTTAAATACCTTTAAAATATCTTGTAAAACCTTTGAAAAACCTTAAAAATCCTTTAAAATAACTTGTAAAACCTTTAAAAACACCTTATAAAACCTTATAAATACTTGGATCGAGTCTTCAAGTAGTAGTTAAAATCCATAAGTACCTTATAAACCTAATAAAACTTTATAAAAATTTCATATTTAAAAAGGGGCATTTTTGAAAATGGACATCTAAAAGGGCATTTTTAAAAGGGGCACACCAAAAGAGGCATTTTTAACAATTTCCCTTTATAATAAACAATATAACATACGAATATTTTTAGTTTTTTATACTTATATTTTTTTGGTAAAATTTTTTTTTTTACTTATATTGAACTTAGTAAATTTAGCCAAATTACTAATGCGTTATCAAATGATCGAGACAACATTTTATCCCGCGCATGATACGGGTCGACACCCCTAGTTGAACTTTAAAAAAGTTTATAAAATTTGGGTTTTTTTTTTTACAATTATGAAAATCACATTTTAAAGATAGATTTTCTAACTAATTATTCCTTTTTTTTACATGCATAAAATTAAAAAATATATATATATATATAAAATATTGCAATGTCCCGGTTGGTAAATTGTGAACTAACTAACCTCGAGAAATATGGCCTCTTCCAACTAATACCATAATTTTCTTTTATTAATCAAGTAAATGATTCGATAAGTCGTTTCGTCTTTGACTAGATAAACACAAGAGAGAGCGAGGAGAGAGCGAGCGAGAGAGATAATGGTGGTGGAAGAGAATCAGAATCAGATGATGGATTCCATCGCCGGCGACTCAGCGATAACTGCAAATGTATCGGAAGACGAAGCAGAGGAGGAAACCACCACCAACACATGGAAAAACACAAAGGAATTACTGATTCTACATCTCTCCAAGAAGCTTCTCCATGGAGATCTCGATTTCCGAATTGAAGCCGCCAAGGAAATCCGGAAGCTGCTTAGAAAGTCTCCGGTTAAGTCTTCAGCTAGGTCAAAGCTCGCCGACGCCGGAGTTATCCCGCCGCTTGTTCCCATGCTCATTTCCTCTAACGTTGATGCTCGTCACGCCTCTCTTCTCGCTCTCCTTAACCTCGCCGTTAGAAATGAACGGTAATCTTTCTTGGATTGTTCTAGATTTATTGCCAAGTACCAGAAACGGATTCTCTTATGTTGCGTTCTAGGTCTAATTTTGCTGCGTAGAGTCGGATTCAGTGCTCGATCTGAGGTCTTAGGCAGTACTTAAGATGTTAGTTTTTGCTTAAGAAACTTAACCAAGCTCTGCTTAGAGCTTGCTTTAGGACATTGTTCTGGATTTGCAGTTTTAGTGTTAAGGCAATGGTTCTTCTTGTTTAAGTCTATGAATCAGGCATCAGAATGCACCGAGTAGCTACATTTTAGACTTTTAGATCTGTTGAAACCAAGAGGATATCGGGTTAAATCCAAATCACATCCGAATTCCCACTTCAACACCGACTTTGCAATACTGATGTACTTGCTCTAGGTCTAGCTTCACCTGTAGTTTACTGCTATGTGGATAACGATAGCAAATGTAGGATGTAATTTACCTACGTGCTCTAGCAGTAATTTCTACTGACCCTGGTAATTTGTGTGGAAATATATTTGCGTTTTCAGCTCTTATGGTGGTCATTGCCTTTACATTACTTATTGTTTGTGTGTTTTGATTTCTGATCAGGAATAAGATTGAGATTGTGAAAGCTGGTGCCGTTCCACCTCTCATACAGATTCTGAAGCTCCACAATGCTAGTTTGCGTGAATTGGCCACTGCAGCAATTCTAACACTCTCAGCTGCACCAGCTAATAAGGCGACGATCATAACTTCTGGAGTTCCACCGCTTCTGGTTCAGATGCTTAGCTCCGGAACTGTACAAGGGAAAGTAGATGCTGTCACAGCTCTTCACAATCTTTCAGCTTGCAAAGAGTACTCCGCTTCAATTTTAGATGCTAAAGCCGTCTCCCCGCTCATCCACCTCCTAAAAGAATGCAAAAAACATTCCAAGTTTGCTGAAAAAGCCACAGCCTTGGTTGAGATGATCCTTTCTCACTCTGAGGACGGGCGAAACGCCATCACCAGCTGCGAAGATGGTATTCTGACTTTAGTAGAGACTGTAGAGGATGGTTCTCCACTTAGCATAGAACACGCGGTTGGAGCTTTGCTTTCTCTATGCCGCAGCGACCGCGATAAGTACCGGAAACTCATACTGAAAGAAGGTGCAATCCCGGGTCTCCTAAGTTCAACAGTAGAAGGAACATCAAAGTCCCGAGATAGAGCCAGAGTTCTCTTGGACCTACTGAGAGAAACCTCTCGTGAGAAAGAAATGGCTCCATTAATACTCGAGAAAATTGTCTATGGCATTGCAGTACAAGTCGACGGGGCAGAAAAAGCTGCTGAAACGGCTAAGAAACTGTTGCAGAACATGGTTCATAGAAGCATGGAGCTGAGCATGAAAAGCATCCAGCACAAGGCTAATATCTCTTCCAAATCGAATATCTAACGATCATAGTGGTAATATTATTGATACCTTAGAAGCAAAGAAGGTTGCATTATGAGATTTGTAGGTTTTTTGGTTCTGATCTGGAAAAATTCAAGAATCAGAGCCGGGTTTAGGTCTAGTCTTACCTCTCCGGAGTTGGAAGAAAAACCATTTGGTAAGTTTTTAAGGCTGAATTTTTCTTTCCCTTTTGTACATACTTTTGGCTATGGGTCATGTGTATATCAGAACCCTTCCTCATGCTTTTCACATAGTCTCGTTTCAAATTGATTCGGTATTTTGGTTTTTGAAGTTTGCTATTCTTGATCTTTGTTTGTTAACCAGTTTAAATGAAAGAGAGTAGAAATGACCGGAGAAAAATGGATTTCCTATTACACTAAGCACATAAAAATGGCTTTTAAAAATGAACAAACCCACAAAATGATGTCGTTGAGCTATAACTATGACATCAATTCTAAGGGAAAGTGTCAATGATATCTGAATTATTGCCAAGGTGACACCTATACGCGAATTAATCAAGAGTGCCAAAAACTACAAAAGCAAACAATAGACTCGTCGACTTCTACATAAATATCAGTATATCACGCCATCATATTCACTGATACAAGCAACTCATTTGCCAAAAGTGATGGCTTTCGTTTATGGACTCGATTGAAAATACAAAACGACACTCAAGTTGGAACAAAATTTTAAGTCTCAAAAACGTTTAATATAAAACGGAGAGATAATACGATTAAGAAAGAAAACAAAACATGAAACATATTAAATTAAAACACCATTAATTTGGTTAACTGGATTCTAGAGATATGCTCGATTCCGCTTTGTTTCAACTCTCTTCTACTCCATTTCCCGTCGTCTTCTCACTTTTTACTTTTCTTGGTTCACCAAATCTATATTTGATCGATAATTTTGTATTTTTGAATTTTAAACGGCTTGAATTTTGCTGACAAATTCAAAATTCAAAATTAGCTGAAATTTGTTTTGAATTAAATTTGAATTTGTCTATACAATATAAATCTAGTACATTTTTTATTTTTGTTGCATTATCTCTAAAATGTTGATAATTGTTTTATGAGAATTCGATCTCGAAAAGTGCTAAAAGGAAAGATGCAAAAAAAGAAGAAAAAACGATCTAGCTTTATTAATCTTTTAAAATATATATTTCATTTGGTTTTTTAAAAAATATTTTATTTTCTTTAATATTGAATAGGATCAAATCAGGTTAAATTCGGATAAAAAAAATCAGTAACCAAAATTTAACAAAACATACTATGGGTTTACTAAACAAAATCTGATATTTTAATTAAATATGTTGAAATAATTGAAATATGTTGATTCACAATTAATACTGTTGTTTTTTTTTTTCTTTTTTGACAACCACAAATTATTTAATAATGATGTTTAGTAAATAAAATACAGGAAAAATGTCGAAAAAAGCGCGAAAATTTCAAATTTTGGACAAAAAAAGCATGAACTTTCAAAATATCATTTAAATCATAAAGTTTAGTTCCACTTTTGATGGTTAATTTTTCGTTGATCTGGTAGGGCATGTCGTGAAATTTCTGTTGACGGGAATTTCGGGCATGGGGAGTTGCTACACTAAAGGCTAAACCTTTTCGTCGAGACGTGAGATCTAAACTAAAAGTAACGTCTTTTTGCCATTGTCGATGGCGACGACGCAAGTGGAGTCGCTCCACATCTACACGTGTAAGCATATTACAAGAAATGTCAAACGCTCTTCGTTTCCTCCGCTTTGACATGGTCTCTAATCTCTGAGAATGACATTCATCGTATTACGCTAAATACAAGAATCCTGAAGACAAAGATGTTAGGAAGATCCAGAACCGGAGGTTTCCGACCAGAGAATCTAGGGCAAAACGCAGTAAGCTTAATCGGAAGCATAGGCTTCTCTATATTCGTAATCGGAGTTGTAGTTTTCACCATTACCGCTGCTACATATGAACCAGAAGATCCACTTTTTCACCCATCTGACAAAATCACAACTTTCCTCTCATCCAATTCAGACGCTACTCTTAAATCCGACGACAGTGTTGTTAAAACCGGTGAAGATTTCATGGCGGCGAACCAAACCGCATTCGCTGGATTCATCAACATAGCTGATGTGGAAACATCTGAGAATGATTCTGATGCTAATCAATTGGATTGTGATTCCAATGTCCCAATCGATTGCAAAGATCCTGAAGTTTTTCACTTGATGATGAAAGCTACTATGGAGAAGTTTAAAGACATTCACTTTTATAAGTTTGGTAAACCTGTGACTGTGGAAGGTACTAGTTCTTGTGATATGGCTTGGCGTTATAGACCTAAGGATGGTAAAACGGCTACGTTTTATAAGGATTATAGGAGGTTTGTGATTGCAAAGTCTGAGAATTGTAGTGTTAGTGTGGTGGGTATTGATGAATATCATTCGGGTGTGAATGCGAGGAAGCGGAAGAGGCCCGGGTTTCGGAATTCGAGTGGTGGTAAGGTTGATGATTTCTCATTGCCTGTGGTTGGTGAAGCAGTGAATGATTCACTTCCTGCGGTTGAGTCTGAGAATGCGTTTAAAGAAGGTCATTACTTGGTTTATTCGGGTGGAGGAGATAGGTGTAAGAGTATGAACCATTTCTTGTGGAGTTTCTTGTGTGCTTTGGGGGAAGCTCAGTATTTGAATAGGACTTTAGTGATGGATTTGAGTCTTTGTTTGTCTTCTGTTTATACGTTGTCTGGTCAAAACGAGGAAGGAAAGGACTTTAGGTTTTACTTTGATTTCGAGCATTTGAAAGAGGCTGCTTCTGTGATAGACCAGGTGCAGTTTTGGGCAGATTGGGGAAAATGGTATAAGAAGAATGGATTAAAGCTTCATCTTGTGGAAGACTTTAGGGTCACACCGATGAAGCTTGTTGATGTTAAGGACACGTTGATAATGAGGAAGTTCGGGACAGTAGAACCAGATAACTATTGGTACAGAGTTTGTGAAGGGGAGACAGAATCTGTTGTGCAAAGGCCTTGGCATCTGTTGTGGAAATCTAGACGGCTGATGGAGATTGTTTCTGCGATTGCTTCGAGGTTAAACTGGGATTATGATGCTATTCACATTGAGAGAGGAGACAAGGCGAGAAACAAGAAAGTTTGGCCTAATCTGGAAAAGGATACTTCACCAAGCTCCATTTTATCTACCCTGAAGGACAAAATCGAGCAAGGGAGGAATCTTTATATTGCAACAAATGAACCAGATGTAACTTTCCTTAACCCTATGAAAGACAAGTACAAAACCCATCTTCTGGATGAGTTTAAGGATCTCTGGGACGAGAGCAGCGAATGGTATTCAGAGACCATGAAGCTTAATGGAGGAAACCCAGTCGATTTTGACGGTTACATGAGAGCGTCTGTTGATACGGAAGTGTTCTTGAGAGGGAAGAAGCAGATTGAAACATTCAATGATCTTACCAATGACTGTAGAGACGGAATCGGCACTTGCCACGTAGCAGCAAGCTGATCTCTCAGGTAAGCATATCAAAAGCTTGTTATCAGAGACGGTTGTTTGTTTGTAGATTGTTAGAAATCTTGAACCATCTTGTTCCACTTGTTCTACTTTGGTACTTGTAGAATAGCTTTGTATGTTCCATAACTATTGTAACGTTTCTTCTAAACTACTAGTATTTACCTCTATACATCTTTGTTCTTTTTTTTGAAATGTCACTAGATAGACTTCGGTGTTTTAGGTTGAGTTTCTTTGTCAGTTGCTTAGTTGATGGATTTTTCTTAGACTTATCTCAACTTGTGAGATTTCGAATGGAAATGATAGATGTCCTTTCTATTGTCTTATATCCTAATTGTGGTCCTTAATAGAAACTGAACCTATCCCATACTAGGCTCTTAACCATGTCCAATAACTCTCATAGGTAAGTTAGATTATGAGTGAGTGAATGTATCCCTGTGACTTTATTAGGCATTAGTTGGTCCCATTCCTAACCAATGTGGGATATTTAACAATACCATCCCCTATAGACAGTGATGTCCTTGGCGGCTAGTACTCGGGCAGATGGTAGTTTGGGCCTCTTCTGTTTCTTTCCTCTCCAACTGGACGTCACATTTTTAAGGATCGAACAGAGCTTTTCTTCGACCAAGAGAGATAAGTGTACCAGAAACGTAGTCACGAGAGCAGCAAAGTCTTCATTTATCGCAATGTTTCCTTAACGGTTTTCTTTTGACAATCGCTCAGTGTACTGTGTTGAGCAGAGCCATTCAAGTAGTAATAGATTGCACTTTCTCAGATAAAACATGTAAAGAATCTCGAGATGACAAGAATTTTTGAGTTTACACAAGGATTCTAAAGCGAAGCAATCTTACAAGAATTTTTGAGTTTACACAAGGATTCTAAAGTGAAGCAATTTTACAATATTTTCCTAATCGTCTTCTGAGTTGGCTAAGAAAAGGTCTAGGTCAGTGTTAAGCACACACAAACGGCAGTAATGAGTCGTGGGGGAAAACAGCCTGTCTCAGAGAACAAGCCCTTTACACGTCTTGGTGAATTTGACTACTCAAATTATCAAGAGTCGGTCACACACTAAGATTGATGTTGAATGTGAATTTACAGTCAGGCCAAAAAAGAATGCAAGCTTTTGGAATGAAAACATTTAGACTTACTCCAATTTCCAAGCATAAAGGAATAGACAAAAATCAGACGAAGAAGAAACACTACTATCTTTGGTTCCATTGCTCGTTTCGCTTTCACCGCTCTCCGGTTTAAAGATGAACAAGCCGTGACCTGTACCGGGTGAGCTGAACAACCAATCATACACATCCCAAAACACTTGAACAGGTTCTTTATCAACCAAAACCGTCTGATTCCCTCTGAATTTCCACTGCAGATTTCTCACCTGAACCAAAACTATCCCATCCACGCTAATCCACATCTCTGGATCCTTCGCCCCCGTCGAGCTCTCCACTACGATCTCATGCTCTCTCTTCCTATCATGGAACTTAGCCCTAGTCGAAAAACTCTTCTTCCCAAACACATTCTCTTTCTTGTAGAACAAGGCAGCGTCAACCAAAGAAGGTCTAGATTTAGTTCTCTTAAAAGCTTTCTTCTTGTGATCACCCAACAACAAAACAACCTCCTCCTCCGATACAAGCGCCACGTAAAAGTCCGAGCTCGGCTCAGGCCCGCCATTGAATTTAGCAGACCTAAAATCCCAATACACATCTACTTGGTTTCCTTCGACCTCAAACGATTTGTATCCTTTCTTATTCCAAAAGTGCCATGGCTTAAGATCAACCTTGCAACAGTAATTCATATCGCCTTGTACGCTAGTGACCATCACGGTTAAGGAATGGTTCATGAGATTTTTAGACCAAAGAACCCTAACGTTTCTCCAGAAACCAACCATGTGTGCTTGGTAGATGCACGTCACGCTGCTTTGAGCCGTCTTATACGTCAGCGGATCCTCTGTTATCTTCTCTGCCGTTGAAGATTCTGATCTCAAAGACATAATTCTACAAAGCCGGTTAAAACAGAGATCTCAAAACAGAGTAATTTGACAAGAAAAAAAAAACTGGGTTTTGTTGATCCCTGAGTCAAAAATATCTGGAGATTAAAATTTGAGAGAAAGAGAGAGAAGAAAGAAGGAGAATAAACATCCATGTGATCATGAAGACGCGCAAGGATATTCAAGGAAGAGAGCTTTGCATTATCAAAAACAAATAATAATTTTTTTTTGTCATTTTTCCAGTTGTTCTTCTTCAATTTATTTTATTTAAATTTTGTTAAATTTTATAAAAGCAAAAAAAATAATGTCCAGTTGGTTTTGTCCCCAATTGTCGTTTACTTCAAAAAAAAAAATAAATACAAACTACAACAATATCCTTAGGTTATTTCTTATTATTTATTTCTTCTTCTTATTGCCAAGAAAAGAGTAAAATAAAGGGCTATATTAATTAAAATACATAGAGATTGAAAAACCCAAAAACTAACTATGATTATTTTTTTATTAGTTCTCTCTCTTCTGACTCAATTAATTCCAAAATTACTCTTTATTATATGTGCGCGCTAACAAAAATAATAACGAGATAACAAGTTTATATCTAACAACAACGGTAAACACTGTTCACATATCGTCGAAAACACTATTCATCACCGGAAGCAATAAAGAAACAATGATTTGAGATTATCTAACAGTATAACTAAAATTGTATCGCGATAAATATATAAGTTATGTGATAAACACATATTTATCGTGTTAAATCATTTATTATCCGATTGATATCAGCTAACTTATATATTAACCTGGTTTACAAGCAATATAAATCATATTGTATCACGATAAATTTACAAGTTATATGATAAACTGATATTTATTGTGTTAAATGATTTATTATATGATATATATCAACTAACTTATATATTAGCTTGTTTATTTATTTTAATAATTTATTTATTACCGCTAATTTACACATTAGTATATTTATTTATCATGATAATTTATTTATCAGGGTTAACTTTTGTGTTATCAGGAAAAAAAAATCTTCTCTTCTCAAATATTCTCCTCTCTCTTCACGTCTCTCAAATCTTCTTCCTCCTCCATTGTTACCTGCAACTCTAATCCCAATTTCACCTTCTCACCTTCTCTTCTTCTCCTTTTCCCACCTCTTTCTCCCCTTCGATCTTTCTCTAAATTACAAAAACATAATTTACATCCCCAAATTCTTCAATTGAAAAGTTTAATCCATTCTAAAATCATGTAAACTAATTATTTCTTTTTCTCTCTTTACCTTTGTATCTCTGTTCCAAGCTCTTTGTTTTTGTGAATTATTTGGTGATGATTGATTGATTGTGTGTTGTGTATAAAAGCGATGGAAGTGACGAGTCAAATACAAAGTTAGATATAAAATTTGTTTGTGAAGAAATGGAGATGACGATGAAGAAAGAGAAGGATTTGGAGGAGAGACGGTGATCGGAAATAACGTCGGAAAACCCACCATAGACAATGTCGAAGAAAATTCATGGAAGATGAAGGAGAAGAGAAACAATTAGATGTATAAAAAGGGTAAAAATGTCAAAACAACATTCTCTCTCTTGTCCATTCAATTAAAGAAATAGCATAGATAGAAACTTAATTATAAAGTCTTTTATGGTCAGATAGTGTAGATACCCAAATAAATATATAATTGATGTGTCATTATTTTTGTTTTGATTCATTAAATTGCACATGGAGTTATGGAGAGCAAACGTTTGTACAGTCTCAAATTTTGAAGAAGATTATTAAGTCACGTGTCAGTACAGAAGAAACTAAGTTTTTGTTTTCTCTGATTTGTTTTTAGGGTGATTTAGGTGAATAACCAAAAAAAAAAGAAAAATTAGTTTTTAGAAAGAAGGTAGAGAGAGATAGGAAGAGAAAGAGAGTGAATAGAGGGGTTAGAGGTTAGATATTTAATTTTGTTTTTTTTTAGGTTATCTAGTACAATTTCTCTTGTTTTTAAGAGATTTTCAAAAAAAAAAATAGTCGTATGAATTATTCAAGTGTTTTAATGGAAACTTAAAAACATGTTAATGAAATCATATATATTTACTTTTTGTATATTGCTAATTTGCCATATTGGTAGGTTTCCTGGAATTTGTTTCTGTCAAAGAGTTTTCCTTTATTGTTTATGTAAACTCTTGTAGGTGAAATTTATACCATGTGTATAAAATTAGGAAGCACGGAAGCTTCGTCGGAGTTCCGCTTCCCGCTTCGAAATCTTAGTCGGAATCGGAAGCTCTCGGAAGGTTTCAGAATCTTGCTTCCATAGCTTTTCCAAAGAATTCATTTTTGAAGCTTGTTGGAAGCTTAAGATTCTATTTTGGAAGTTTGCGCTTCCATTTAAAATTTTTGATGTCACAAAATAAATATGAAATATGAAATTATTTTTGATAGTTTTTTAATACAACAAAAGAAAAACCAAAAATAATTTTGCATACTATTTTTTATTTTATTTTTAAAAATATCATAGTTAGAAAAATGACAGCAGCATAGATCATTTATTTGGGAGATGTTGAAATGATTAATTGAATTAAATTAATTTCGAGAAACTTTAGATGGATGATAGTAAATAGTAAAATGATAATGAAGAAAATGTTATTCAATTTTTTACTTTGAACTATTTGACTTTTTCTCTATTGTAAACGTACACTATTTGATTTTTAAATATAGAAAGATATTTAGAATTTATGTATTAGATTTATGTGTTAATTATAATTTTTTATATATGATATAATGTTTAATGCTTATTATGTATATATTAATTTTAATATACGCTTCCAATACTTACCCACTTTCTATAATGTTTATAAAAATTGCTTCCACGTTTCTAAACGCTCCGCTTCCGCGTATCTGTTTCTGATTCCATGCAACATAGGTATGAAAATCTCATGTTTGCCTCTTGATAGAAACACATGAAATAAGTTTCTTACTTTTGGGTTTTTGACAAACCTTATTTCTATTTTTACATTAGTATACTAGTTTTTAAACCGCGGTGCACCGTGGGACAATTTATTTCTAAAAGTAGCGATTTAAAAAATTTAAAGATTATATATTATATATAAAATATTATAAATTATATCATTTTATAAGATATTTATATTTTATAGCTTACAATTGTTATTAAGTAGTGGTATGCTAGACCACAATTTTGTTTTACAGAATCTTATCTAAATCAGTCTAATTCATATTTTAATTTTTATTAATATTGATTCAAGCACGTCCAACCATATAACCCTGTCCCGCAATATAACTCGTTCCGAGTTATTTTATTTTTTATACGTTCAAATGTTCATACTATTATAAACTTTTTTTATTGATTTTAAATATATCAATTACAATATTTAAATGTTTTAAAACGTTTAAAATTTAACATTCCAGTAAACTTAAACAGTTTAACTAAAAAACCGAATTAAGCCATATACAAACTTTTAAATTTGGATGCTTGTTAGTTAAGCTTTCTGCTCATTCGGATTTTGATTCATTTTGATCTTATTTATAATATGACTTATAATCATTGTCCAAACATTTTAGCTGACGTGGAACGTTGATTACACACATTTTTTATTAATTAGGTAATATATGTCCCTTTTAAAAATTTCGAATCACAATATATATGCAGAAAAAAGTTCAAGATTTTTCTTAACTTGATATATTGTATAATGATACAAAACATTTAAAAACAAATCAAACAAAGTTGATACGAGAATCATAATTTTCAATTTTAACCAAATCTTTAAATATCTATATTATTAAATGTGGAATATCCTGTTCATAATTTTGGATATGTTTTGATCTGATCCAAGCAAAATATGAAATATCCGAGTTGGGTACTAAATTTGTCGGATCACAGTTTAACCCACATGCTAACAAATATACTTCAAAAACTAGATTTTAACCCCCGGTATACCGCGGGATGATTTATTTTTAAAGCTAGTATAAAAATATTTTGTAAATTGTATCTTCTTATAAAATATCTATTTATATAATAGTTTACAATTGTTATTAAGTAAGGGTATACCACGAGTTCACGAGACAATTGTTAATAAACTGAGGATTTAACCCGTATTAAAGCGGCATGTTAATGATATTTATAAATATTGATTCAAATTCGTCCGCCATATAAACCCGTTCCGAAATATAACCCATTCCGTAATTTCTTAACCCGTCACGTGATTTGTTTTTATTATAAAAATTTATTATATATAAAAGTTTACAAATCATATCATTCTCTAAGTCATTTATATTTTAATAAACTGAAGATTTAATTTGTATTAAAGCGGCATGTTAATGATATTCTATAATTTTATAAATATTGATTCAAACTCGTCCACCGTATAACTTCGTTTCGAAATATAACCCGTCCTATAACTTCTTAACCCGTCCTATGATTTGTTTTCTAAAAGTAGTAATTTTTTAAAATTTAATGATTATTTATTATATATAAAAGTTTGCAAATTGTATCATTTTCTGAGATATTTATATTTTATAGTTTACAATTGTTATTAAGTAACATTATACCACGGGACAATTTTTGGTTTTATACAATCTTTTCTAAATGAGATTCATCTAATATGTCTAATATTGGTGGTATTAAAATAAATTAAGGATTTAATCCGTATTGAAGCGACAGATTAATGATATTTTAATCTTTTTATTATTGTTAATTCAAAAACCAGTCCCGCTAAACCCGTGCGGCCAAAAAACTTATTTATTTTATTAATGTTGATCTTATTTATGATATGATTCTGAATCATTGTCTAAATATTTTAATCGATGTAGAACGTTGAACACACATTTTCGTCAATTGGATAATATATTTCCGTTTTTAAAATTTCGAATCACAGTATATACAGAAAATATTGATTTTTTTTTTACTTTATGTATTATATGATGATTCAAAACAGTTACAAACAAATCAAACAAAGATAATAGGAGAATCATAATTCTAAATCTTAATCAAATCTTCTAAAGATCTAAATTATTAAATATGGAATAACCAGTGTATGAGTTAGGTTAAATATAACCCGACCCAAAAAAATTTTATGACCAAAATTTGTAAACGGGTCAGATATTAAAAATATCCGAGAACAATTTTATCCACCCGACTTAAAAGTAACTGCAAAAATACTAGTATAGATACTATAGAGATTGATAAAATAAGGGAAAATTGAAAACAAAAGATGTCTA